AAAATTGGCCATAACTCCAACAATCTTTATTAGATTTCAATGCTTCAAACGCCAAAATCTTACAAATTCGATCCGCTTTAAGCGCGTGATGGACTTTTGTCAAACATCTCCAACCGCAAAGGAGCTACGCACCAAAAAGTGCCAAAAAACTAGTCACCGTTCAAAAAACTCACAAAACTGGCCTTAACTCTAACGTTCGTCATCGAATTTCAATGGCGCAAATGCGAAAATTTAGCCAATTAAATGCTCGTTACACAAACGTGAAACATTTTTCAAATATCTCCACCGGCAAACGAGTTACGAGCAAAAGAATGCCAAAAAACCCACAAAATTCTCCAAAACTCCCAAGTTCTCCATCCGACTTCAAGGATCCAAATGCGAAAATTTCGCAAATTGAACGCCATTTTACCGAGCAATCGTGAGTGTTGAAGCTGCAAATTTTCCCACTTTCCTGGCTAATTTTCCGAATTTTTCACAAGCAAGTGAATCGGGCGGTCGACTGCCCGAGAACCGCAACTGTCTTACCAGAGTTGGAAATTTTTTTTCGCAAAAACTCCACGTGCTAGAAATTTGGCTGTTGCGCCACTGGATAGGCGACAGTTTGGGCTATAACTGGGAGTTTTCGCACCCCAGCAGTTAAACTCGCCGATTTTTCACGCTAAATCAAACTCCATCCTCCAACCAAAAAGGCTCAGAAGTGCAGACCCAAGTTTGCCAATTAATTGCGCGAAAACCACAGCAGCTGGAAATTTGCCTCGTACGCCACTGGCTAGAGACGATCTTCGGCTATAACTGGGAGTTTTCGCGTTTTAATAGTTAACCGGGCTGATTTTTTATGCCCATTTGGACGCTCATGTGCCTACAAGCTGTCGTCAAAGTTTGGTCAAAGTTTGCCAATTATTTCTCTGCAAGCCCCAAAAGCGGGAAATTCCACCGATACGCCCCTGGATAGGGGAAGGCTTACGCTCTCCCTGGGAGTTTTCGCGTTTCTGCAGCCTACTGGGCGGGGTTTTGCCGCCAGTTTCAATGGGCGCTCAACCGAGGGGCTGCAGCTGCGTTGGCCCCCCCACCACTTTATCAATTAATTTCTCCTCAACCACTGCATCTGGAAATTTCGCCCATGCCCCCCTGCATAGGGCGGCTTTTTGGCTACACCCCCCAATTTTTGCACCCCCCTATCTCAACGGGCTGATTTTTCCGACAGGCTTAAAGCCAGTCAGTGAGCAACAGATCTGCTGAAATTTTAGCCCAAGTTCAACGCCCCATATTTCCCCCTCCCTTTTCACACCCCGCACGAGGTCCGCTTGGGCCAATCACAACCTTTGCTAAAAGGGCGGCCAGATCTTAAAGGGCGACCAGGTCTAAAAGGGCGACCAGGTCTAAAAGGGCGTTCAGGCCTAAAAGGGCGTCTAGGCCTAAAAGGGCGACCGGGTCTTTTTATGTCCCCCACCCGGTTTAGCCCGCCAATGTCACTTTTGAGGGCTGCAGCTCATTTAATTCAGCTGGCGAGGTTTAAATGGCTTTTATTTGCTAGACAATGTCCTCCATTTCCTCGATTAGCTCGCGCTCCTCCAAGTCGGCCGGCTCCTCCTCCCCGGGCCGCCCCTCCGGCTCCTCCGGCGTGCGCTGTTGCCGCTCCAGGCGGCGCCGCCTGGTGTGGGCATGCGCCCGGAAGCAGCTTTGGTCCTTGGCCCTGCTGGCCACCAGCAGGTTCTTGAAGCTGAACTCGTACTGAAGAGGGTGCGCGGGGATGAAACGCTCCATCGCCTCCTGCAGCTGCTGGTAGCGCTGGAAACAGTCCAGCTGGGCGGCGTGGGAGTCGCCGCCCGCGTACGGATCGGGCGGCTGGGGCGGTCGCCCTTTGACCACGTCGGGGAACAAGCTGGCAACGGTGTGCTGGAAAATAGTCTCGCCCTGCTTCAGCCTGCAGGGCAGGGGGTGGCGTTAGGTTGGGGCGCAAAGGGCGGCAGCCCCAGGGGGGGCGACCACTCACCGCTCCTTCTGCTTGCGCTTCTTGCGCTCGTTCTCCTCGTCCAGCTTCTGGAGGGGCTTGCGCCTCTTCTCCAGCTCCTTGGTGTCCAGCTGCTTCTTGGTGATGATCATGGCCTTGATGCGCGCCTCCTCCTTCGCCTGCCGCTGCTCCATCGTCCACTCCATGTAGCGGCCTGCAACAGGGGGACCTCCTCACAGCTGCGAAGCTGGGCGGCCGAGCGCCTCACCCGGTAGGGGGCCCCTCCTGATCGGCCGCTCCTCCACCTTSGCCAGCTCGGTGCGCTGCGCCTCCTTGGCCGCCTCCTCCTGCGCGCGGGCGGCCGCCTCCTCCTGGCGCCGCTGCACCAGCCGCCCCTCGTGCCGCCCGTTGAACGCCGCCTGCCACTCCCAGAACAGCCGCTTGCGCTGCACCTCCCTCTGCACGAACGTCTGCATCGCCCTGGCGACGCCCTCCGCGTAGGCGGCCGTCGGCTGCTTGAGGTAGAAGAGGCGGAAGGCGCCTGGGGGCGACCACAGGGCGTGGTTTAGTTTGCTAATTACGTGTCATACCCTGTCTTTCAGTTGTCAACGTCAACCAAAAAGTCACTGGTTAGAGTAGTATTGAAAGTGTTTGAGAAGACAGGTCAAGAACAATAACAAACATGCAAATCATAAACAAAGACATGTAGGGTGGTAGGCAACCCGGATGGCCCAAACGTGCACATGTGGTGGCGGTGCATATGTTTTAGAGGCTTCGATGGTTTGATGTTAACTCTCTCTCTCTCTCTAACTAATAGACCATTCGTGTAAGGGCATCTCACTTGATGCATCCCATATTTTTTTTTTAACGTTTGATGGATAACTGCGTCGCAAACGCGTACGTTAAATCCGCGGTACAGATTAAATCATGAAATGACCCACTGTAGGAAAATAATCTGTGGATGAATGCGATAGCGCAAGTCAAATGTCAAATAAATCTTCCCCATTGTTGTTTATGGGGTTGTCATGGACACCATGTCTGTCGATGTTGATTATTCGCTGTCATCCAAAGAAAAAGCCGATGCCGATTTTATTCATTTCTGACGGTATAAACTGTGATAAGTTGTGTGATTTCGTGCCTCATGCTTCCTGCACATACTGGATTGTGATATGTTTGCCCATGTTCTCCAATACGAAGTAAATATTTTGTTGGGTAAGTCGAAATCACTTAGCTTATTACTCAGGTGGCATTTTCATCAACAAACAAATAAAAGGAAAATAGGATATTTTTCTCATTAGAGCTAGTTCATAGCATCGGGTTGCTCACCGCTGAAACCGGTACTGGTTAATACCTCTGTGGTTATGTTTCACGATGCGATCTGGTACTAGGATTGCCGCTTTGCCGATTAAGACTATGCTCACCTTATAGAAAATCTTGTAAGAAACAATATTTTTCGTATACATTTTTCGATTAAATGCCGTTTTCCACCACTTTTCGCCCTCTGAAATTCACCAATTTCCAAAACAAAACAACGGTCGCCATGATAGTTCAGCACTTTGCGCCGGCGTGC